TCTGGGCCATTTCAGTCACACTAAGAACTTACCTTGGTTGCTTGATGATGGATCATCAGCTGTGGAGTTCTGAGAGGAGCACGATGGTGAAGCTCCTGTGGAAGTGTTGCCAGCCCCACCTGCCTGTGCCGGAGGGCATTTGGACTGGTGGCTTCGTACCAGGGCAGTGCTGGACGCTCGGTGCTGCAACTCCTCCTCCACCCCCTGCCTGTAATACTTCAGTTTCAACTCTGTGTAGCGCAGCTTGGCTCGGACATTGTCGCTCTCCTTCTCCTTCAGGGCCTTCTCTCGCTGCAGCATCATCATGTCCCGCTTCATGTGCGCCAACTGCGCCTTTAGCTCCTCAAATTTGACCCCCACCACCTTCAGCATTTCGGCCAGGACCGTCTCCACAGCTCCGTTCACTGCCTGCTCCACCACGGTGCCCATTTGGCCTCGGATTAGTGAGACAGCAATGCTGACATCCATCTCAGCACACCGTTGAATTTCACCTGTAAGCACAATAATGTCACGGTAAACACACTGAGCACTTCATTTAGTACACCTGCATAGCCCCTTATAATCCAATAAAAGAGCTCTATCTAAAGTAGTGTCTTCAAAAATTCTGGTTTATTATTGTAGTCGTGTGGCTGTTTTTAACATTTTATTTTACTAACATACAACAACTCGCAGTGTAATACTTCCAATTACAGAGCATTACTGTACTTACATAAAAAATATACATACATGTGGGAACAATACACCTATGATACGTTTCAAACGCAATGTTTGGTAACGTTAATGTCCATCCACAACTTGTGTCTTGACTTCGAGACACTGCGGCTATCTATACATTAGAATTATATAATTTTAAAAAGTATCCCACCCTACGGTGGGCTACACAAAAATATTCATTTTCTGAAAGGTTTACGTAACAAAATACAATATTACACCTAGCACATAATCATTAATAACACACCTTTTATTTTGGAATTCGGGTGTCTTTTTTGTTTTCTAGTACCGGAAGGTGAAGCTAAACGTAAGTACACTCGGCAATGACAACAGTTCATTGGTGCTAAGATAACAGTTTAGTTTCAAAGTGTGACGATTTCACTTTAATTGTTTAGTGACTGAGAATAGTTAGTGGTATAAAATGACACTGCGGCCTACTAAGTATGTTGTATACGTCAACCGTGCAACAATTACCGTTATCCTGAGGCAAACGCGTATTCCATTGTTGTGATGTCTGGTCCACACGAAGAACGCTCGATTAAAACGCAGCCCATAAAAGCTAAATTGTATATGTACTTTTGCTTTCAATACATGTCATGACATTCGTGGCTTATGCAACAACAGAGCTCGTTCCGCCCGTGTTCATCACGCAGATAAAATAAGCTACGACAGTCAAAATACATACTTATTAAAAACTGTTAGCGTACCCTTTTCTATAGCCAGGCGTGACAGATGATTCCCAACAGCCAGAGGCGAAAATCAAAAACAAATCCCACGAATTTGCTGTTTCGGTCCAAGATTTTGGAGGAGAGGCTTCCTTTTACTCTTCTTTTGGTCATTAGACTGCGCTATACGAATAGCAGATGGTACAGTACTGCCACCTAGTGAATATGGTGGCGCTTTACAACAACAACACAATCAACCACTATCCAACGAGGCTCACAATAATGACTTGGGCTATGTTCAGTTGTGGAATTTATTGACAGTTCATATAACTTTTGTCAGATCCCGCTTATCTATTGGGAAAGTCCTGGACGACTCTCTGTTCAATGGGTTTCAAGCCCCTTATCCCTCAAACGCGGTCACCGGAGGGGAGGGAAATTTTCCAAAACCGGCTAATTATTAATTAAGGACGATTCCGTATTTTACGGGACGGATGGCAACCTTACTTTTTATCGCCTCTGGACTTCTAGAAAATTCCAAAGATGTAATGGAACATTGGTTAGGTTGGACCGGCCAACCATGGAAAATAACAGGGAAAAGTTGTTTATTCTTTTCTTTTTCTTTGTAAAATTGTCTCTTTGCGTACTCAACTCATTTCCCCAGTAGTGGCGCTCGACCTCCGCTCGCTAGTCTAACACAAAGCGATAACATTCATAGCATCAAATTTTATAATATACTCCCTGTCTCCTGGAATGATATCACGTTACCATAAATGACACATTGCCTTTCTAATTGTCCTTTTGACATACTCATGTAAATTTTGTTTATAGGGCACAAAAAACACTTTAACCAAGAAAAAAATAAATACAATGGAGCAGGAAGGCGTTTTTGTCACGTTTTATAGTGCAGATGAAGCAATATTGAGTTTGTGATGTGACAGACAATAATAAAATAATGACAATGACAAGCATGTAGGACGAACTGCCGCATGATAATAAACGTGCAGAGTCCAGAGCAGAGATAGGGGGAGAGGGAGAGCGCAGCTCAATGATGTGAATGGGGAGATTTGGGGGTGGGGGGACAGAGAGAGAGAGAGAGAGCGCGAGAGAGACAGAGAGAGAGAGAG